CTTACTTACATAGTTTTAATCATACATTACGAAATACAAATGTCAACAGACATTAAAAATGACATTTGATTCATGATTTGTTAATAAGTGCCATCTTACAATGCTAAAACGAAACATTTTCGATTAGCCGCTGCTAACTGCTAGCGCCGCTATGCAGCCAGAGCGGCGGTATGCACAATCACTCTCTGTTTATAGTCTAAGATCCCACTGTAGGATTGGTGCGGTCATCACTTATTTGTTTAAAAACAAATTTTTATATTTATTTATAGTTAGGAGAACATAATATATTTACTAGGTTGCCTATCAAAATTTGGCCGCCATAATTTTTAATTTATTTTTTTGGAAAAATTCCGTTATTTATTTATTAAATAAAGAAAACTATACATGACAGTAATTTATATGAAGATTCTAAAAAATCACGGTTGCCATTACGCACCTAGCCGCAACTCTTCGCAGCCAGGGTGTGTTCGCAAAAATTAACCTAGTAATTATAATATGTTCTCCTAACTATAAATAAATATAAAAATTTGGTTTTAAACAATTAACCTATGAACGCAGCAATCCTGCAGTGGGATCTCGGACTATTATTATCCATACAAAACGTGTCAAGGACGATCTACAAATCTCGTGTATGTATACAGGAAATGTTTGTATGCGTGTGTGTAAAACTAACACATGCATAGTGTTTGGAAAGCATTGATTTAAATTTTGAATTGTTTGTAGAAAGTCCGTTAATTGTCAAACGAGACGGGGCTCTCTGATTGGTCGGTAATCTGGTTATACTTTTGTCGCCATTTTATTATTATGCAATATTGTCATTTGTTTTTCTAAGCACAAGTGAATACGTTTTAATTAGTAAACAGTGGATTAATTTATTAACGAATTATGGAAAATTATAGCTTTGAGTTCTGTGCTTGTGATGTGTTTAATGAAATTGGTAACGAGTGTGTACATTTTCAATATTGACGTTTAGTAATAAAATTGAAATAAGTGTAAAGTCATGGTGTGTGAGCTGTTGTGACCAGTTGAGATTGAACTAAAAGAAAGGTAATGTTATTCATTTTAATAAAAAGTATTATGATAGTTTTAATTAGTTAGCAGGTTGTGTACACCCAAATAAATTATTTTGTTTGCCTTATTTGTTTTTTTCAAAAGATTGTAATAAGAATGTTTGAAAATGGAACTCCGCTGGATATTCCTATTTAAATAACTTTATAAAGCTGTGATGAACAGATCATATGTTCGTTTTGATCAGATGAACATTGATGAAGATTGATGATGATTGAACAGATGTTCGTTCTGATCGGACTGCTGTAACATTATTCGCGAAGATTATAAATGTTTAAATGAGATTAATATTTTCTGATTACTTCGCGTATTTTATTATGTTAAAAACTACATACTCCCGACCTTTCGATGACTTGGCAGCAACCGTGATCACGGCGGACATCTCGTCTGCCCGTTAAAAAAATAACAATATTAGTTTATTTTGACTAAATAGTTTCCACGACCGTAAGAAGATTAGTTTAATTATTAATTTAATTGGTCTCTAGTATTGTGGAAAATGAGATTTTGTCACCATTTATAACAATAATTTTAATTCAAATATCATTCCGTATAAGGGTCCGAAATATATAAACTGCAATAAATATTTCTAAGGGATTGCTATAAAAATTCAACTGAAACTTGAAATAATCAAAAAAAAAACAAACTTAAACTGAAAATTGAAAACACCGTCCGCCATGTTTTTAAGTCACAATATTGTAAACAACGTAATATCAAACGCTATTTCAGGTTATTCGTGGTCTTTCATTTATACGCCTTGATAATTATTTATACCACGTAAAGAGAACAAAAGATTGTTAGATGGAGTATACTCTTTTCTTGACAACATCCTCATCATTTGTTACCAAATGTTTTCTGTCCTTTTGACAACTAAATCGAGTTGGAACACAATGCGTTTTCATTCTGATTCTTTTATCTGAACCCATGATTTTATATTGTTTATAATTTTCCATGTCACTTTCAAGCTAATATAAAAACAGAACCAATGTTAACACGTGGGCAATTGACTACGCATAGTCGCTTACTGAAACTTTATTTAGAAAGAAAAAATATTAATACATTATACATAGTTTAAAGTGAAAATTACAAAAATTTATTTGTTGTAAGTTTCTTTAATTTACATTGAAGTGATCTTCACAGAAATACACTTCTGTTCGACTGACAGAGTTACAGTATTTTTTTTAGCTAGTTGTAATCAGGTATTACACATATTCTCAACACTGGGTACTTTAATCCACAACTTTTCTGGGTTCTTTATTGATGCATTCTTACATTACCGCACTATACACTAGTGATAACTACTATATTTTATCATGTAATCCTTGTGAAGCCATGGTTTTGAATTCGGATAAACAGGTTAAGATAGTCACTTTTATTGTTTACAAGAATATTACGTCACGGCACAGATAATTAGTAGACCATCATGGCGGACGGCGTTTATGACTGCATAGCGAAAATATATTTGAAAATTTAAAGTTTTTTAGAATAGGTGTTTCAAAAAAAAAAATTATATTTTTTTATGGCATAATATAATCGTAATGTACCGTTCTATGAAATAATAAAAATATTTACTTTCAGATGAATATTGTTCGTCACGACATCGTTTACAACGTAAGTACATTTTTATACACTTATCGCCTGAAGAAAAGTTTTTTCACAGTAAATATTGCATAGTGCATTTATTCGTAGGTTTTCTCGTTAAGGATTTTAGTTGGAATTTATATTGTAGAAGTAATGAAAACAATTAAGAGAACAACCTTTAATGATCGTTTGGTTTAATTTATGCCAACACAAGAGGAAGAGGTTCTTGAGGATTTATGCTATTTATGCATTTAACATTTCTTCATGCTTGTCACACTTTTTAATTAAATTTTAATACCTTATCGAATTATTCGTTTGAAAATTCATGAAAAATATTTTTCTGCGCAAATTTTCCATAACTGATGTTATTTATTTAATCCACGTTTACCATTAAATATTGAACACATTCAACTATCCCTACTAATATTATAAATGCCTAAGTGGCTCTGTCTGTCTGTCTGTCTGTTACGCTTTCACGCCTAAACCACTGAACTGATTTTAATGAAATTTGGTACAGAGATGGAGTTGACCTTGTAAAAGAACATAGGATAGTTTTTATCCCAGACTTTTGAAAGGTTATCTTGGAAACGCGATATAACCGAACTCCACGCCGGCGAAGCTGCGGGCGGAAGCTAGTCTTCATATATTTCTGTCGCAACGAAAATTATTTCATATCAATCGTTTTTCAGTTATAGTAATCATTTATTGCACCACGCTTTATAATGTTACATTTTATTTTAATATCAACATAACATTTAACTATAAAATTTTAATCTAGTGTAGAATTGTATTAGTTTCAAGAATCCGATGATATTTCACCTAGTTTGTGTGCTAAATAGGACAGCGTATTGAAATTAATTACTACTTTCGGGGAAGGTGATCAAAACATGCAAAACCAAGTGATTCACAAAAATTTGTTTGTGATTAAGTGAAAATTGGTAATACTATTATAAAATATTTATCTTAATATTATGTATATCCAATTGTTTTTCATTGTAGAAGTCTGTATTTCATAACTATATTCGCTGTCTCTGTTATGCTCGTTTATTATTTAAAGAATCCGAAATTATGAAACTACCTACTGAAAAAATTTGCTAAATAAGAATATCACCCACAGCTATAATTATTTCATATTTTATATCTTAATCAATAATCAGTATAATGTATAAAAATAATATAATTTCTTTCAAATATTTTATTTTAATTTATTGATTATAAATTTCAATTAAAAAGTCAGTGGTGGCTCAGTGGTTAAAGGGCCTGCCTCTCGTCGCCGAGGGTGCGGGTTCGATCCTGGCCCGGGCAAGTACCAATGTGATTTTTCTGAATCATATGTATTAGTATAGTTATTAGACTTATGTAGGTATTACAACAATTTTAATGCAAACAATCTTCAAATATCTAAAAAATAATAACATATATTTTATAGTATTTTCATATATAAATTAACGTGTTTTTGAATTCCTTAAATGTGTATGGAATTTTTTTCTATTTATGGTCGTTTAAAATAATGCTAGAAGTTATTGTTGTGAGTAAAGACAGTACTTTTATAAGGTATTCTTAACATTATGAATGTCACTGAGGACATATTTATATGTAAAGTCATGCATGCCCTTTGCTAAAGCGAATGATTGGTTAAAATATAAAGATTAAATGGAGAAGAAATACCGAGAACTATTTTTGTAAATTTTTACGTATGTTCATGATTAAAAATATTTTAAAGGTTGCCTGGAAGAGATCGCTGTTTTAGCGATAAGGCCGCCTATTTGTACATTTTCCTTTCTTTGTTTTTCTCTTGTTATTTCTGTCTATATTGGTGTACATTAAAGAGTAAATAAATAAATAAACATACTCGTACGTCAACGGTTTGACCTTTTGGGTACTATAAAAAAAATCTTTAAAATTATCTGCCTTCATAGTCTTAAATCCATACTCGGATTGTTAAATCTAATATGAGACGAAACTTCTCAGCAATGCCTGGGACTTGCGACCCAAGTGTAGGTTTAAGGGGCCCCTTAACTAACGCGCGTTATACGCTCATCTCCACTGTCCAAGCTCCTCTCCCTACCTAACCAAATTTGAAAAGAACCTACTAGGGCTGCCTTCGATATACGTTCCAAGAATGCATTAATGTGAGTTCTGGACAAGCCCAAGTCCTTTAGTAGGTTATAGAGAGATTTCGCTGTTATACCTCTCGCTCCCACCTCTACCGCGTACAAATCTACTACGAACCTATTTCGAGTGAGTTCGTTTGTGAGCTCGTAATATTTGTTGACCTTGATGGTATGGTCTTTGGGGATGTTGGTTTCCCAAGGGACCGTAAGCTCTATCATCACTACGCGCTTTAAAATTCGCTAAAACAAAAATATATCCGGTCTGGAGGCCGACGCACAAATGTCCTCGGGGATTTTATACTGTTTTTCATACGTGTCCATCATTATAGTCCAATCCGACGCCGCTTTAAGGATGGAGTAAGGCTTGACGTTTGATTTTGTAGCCCTAGTGCCTTCTCTCACAAAACCTACTGATCGTTCGTTTGTGGTAATTTCCTTTTGCGCTCTGGCTACCGAAAGACTAACCGCTTCACGTATGACTTCTAAAACCCTATCGTGACGACGCGAGTATTGACCGCTGTCCAGGAGTACCCTACATCCCACCAGCAGATGCTTAGCAGTTCCAACTGCCTTTCCACAGATATAGCAAGTTTTTTCGGTACTTTTACCCCATCTTACTAAATTACTCTGATCTGGGAGAGTCATCTGGAACGCATTGAGATAGAATTTTAGCAATGCTGGCGACCAATCGTAAATTAAAGTGCGCCATTTTAATGCTAATGGGATGCAAAAATCTCCTATGTCTAACCACTCGTTCTGCATTTCTAAATTCATTGCATGGATCTTATATTTATCATTCTCGTCTTGCCGAATAAAAGACTTCAATATATCCGCATCTTGGACTTTCCTATTTGATCCTAACCCCGCTCTGTTACTTTGTGCTCCTATCATAAATTGCTTATGGAATTGAAGTCGTGACTCTAGCTCGGGTAGTGGTGGGTCGTTGACGATTTTACAGTCGACGCAACGAGACCGTTTACCGTCGATGATAAACTAGTTTAAAAAACAGTCTAATTGTCGACTAGTTTACGTCGTCATCGAAAAGACTACTTCATCACATAAACGATAGTGAACGTGAACGAACGAAAGTCTCGTTTACCAATTTGACGATGTGAATAGGTATGTACATACGTAGTCGTTTAGTAAACGAGATTATTGAGAATGAAATGACATATTGTTGAATATATACTTTATAGTTTATATATACACTTTAATTTATGTACATCTATTTTACACACTTAATATTTACAACACAAGCACAAACAGAATTATCAAGTTTTAAACACAATTATACACTTTAATTTAAACTTTAGGATGAAAACAAACGAAATATCAATTGAATTGCATTATTGCATAAATTTCGTCCACCGCGCGACGACGCAACATTTCAAATTTCCAACAACACCTAATTTATTAAACTATAGACTACTAAAACAAACAAAATTCGCAACTTTTATTTCTTATTCTTATTATGATAGAGACGTTTCTCGTGTAGCGCTCCCACCAAAACGTCACAGGTTGAGCACGTGCCGAAAAAGAAAGAGATAGTCAATTAGTAAAACAAGCGAGCGTAAAGAAAGCGGTCTATTCAGTTGGTGTCGCGACTCCTCGCTCGCGTCGGCAATGTTCGGGTTCACTCGGTCCGTTCACAACGGACTCGTCAACCAGTCGACGAATAAACTAGTTTATCTGTGAACTATAAACTAGTTTTATCGTTCACGGACAAAAAACAGTTTAGGTAAACGGTTCGTCCATACAACGCCCACCTCTAAGCTCGGGGGCATCTTCATCTTTTGGTAGCGATGTCACTACGTCATCATGGGATTTCCCCAACATATATCTCTTGGAAACTCTTAGGTGTTTATAGAGCTCCGATGGCCTTTTTAGACTCATCCCAAAACTATTGCTTCCCCTAAATAACGCCGATGAATCAGCTGTTAAAGCGAGCCCGAGCCACAACTTCAACATCTTTATGACGCCTGCATCTAACTTTGACAAAAGGGTTTTATTAAAATCATAGACGAGGAAAGGCCAATTCAAACGTGAAGTTAAGTAATTCTCGTAGATCCACGCTTTTTTGACGTTACTTATCAGTTGGCTATCTACCTTGTTAAGATCGTTCAAAAAGCTATCTACTATTCCTTCTAAAGATGGAGTACGGCCTATATTATCAATCTTACGACCGAGAAATTTAAATGGTGCATTTTCCGTAACCGTAGAAATTCATTGACCGCCTAACGATAGTCCCGGAACGTATGAGGTGTATCTTGTATTCCGCCTACCAAGACACAGACAGTGACATTTACTGGGTTTTGTCCTCAATCCATCCGTCCACTCACAGAATTTATCCACTTCATCCAATAATACTTGACAGTGTTTGGGGTTACGTGTCAGTATTGCGAGATCGTCAGCGAAGGCTAAAATGGATTCCGTGTATTTATTATTTAACTTAAACCGATAACCCCATTTTTTCTCGTTACAGATTAATTTGTCTACTAAGATGTTAATTACGATATTAAACGTAATTGGAGATAGACAACAACCTTGAAACAGTCCTACATTATAACTCAAACTTTTTGAAGGGCCTTCTTTAGTTATTATAGAAAAATTTAATTTTGAGTAATACGACGCGATCATATCTCTAACTAGGGGTGGAAAGTTGTACCATCTAAGCGCGAGTAGCATCAACTCGTGTTGTATCGACCCGAACGCGTTCTCCAAGTCTATCCAACAAACAGTGATTTGCCGCTCGCTTTTTCTAGCATCTTTTAAACTCTCCGACAGCAAGGTGTTGTGTTCTAGGCATCCAGAAATCCCGGGTAGAAACCCTTTCTGGTGATTTGGCCTAAAATAGTTGTTGCTGAGCATGAATCGCGTCATTCTCGTTTGTAGAACCGAGAAAAAGATTTTCGATATAGTATTTGTTAAAGCTATCGGTCTAGTATCTTTCGGATCAGTAACTATATCTTTTTTGGGAATGAGGACAAAAATTGCTTTCCCGAAGCACTCCGGGATTTGCTTCCCTGACCAGATTTTACCGTATATATTTAGGAGGTGTTTACGAACCGATGGACATTTTTTAAAGACTATATATGGGATACCATCGGGTCCCGGTGCAGATTTAGACGACTTCCTCTTGATCTGACTACTTAGTTCCTCTAGCGTTGGTGGAATGCCGTGGAATTCGATTCGAGGAAATTCAGGTTTTTGATCGTTTGGATCCCTATACCGTCTTAAACTTTTAGGCACTTCGTATGTGCTCTTAAAATGGTCGTAAATTTGATCGTTGGTCAAGAGAAGCTGTCCGCGTTAATAAAAGACGCGTAGTAATCCGAAAACATTAATTCATTTAAACAATTATATAATTTTGAAATAGTTGATTTCATTTATGTACCAGTCACTCACTTCAACTTCCATAAACCATATTTCCTGTTCACTTTATCAAAACGTAAATTTCATTTGAAAAGTTGACGATACAAAAGGCGCAAATAGCTCGTCAGGAAAAGTTTATTTTCGAAGGCTGTGAGCTTCCCTTAAAAGCTTCCTGTTCAGTTTTTTTTACTATGAACCCTGGATATGCGGGTAAGTTTATTAAAATTAACAAATAAGATAAAGAGGCGTCATACTAGTAATATTAAAATTATAACCATTCGATATATTTCTCTTTCTAAACAGGCAGAAAGGAGTTACCAGGTAGTCTGAAAGCATTGTTCCGTCCTATTGCAATGATGGTGCCCGACTACGCTCTTATAGCAGAAATTTCTTTATTTTCATATGGTTTCTACGACGCCAAGATTCTGGTAGGAAAAATTACTACAACGTTTAGATTGAGCTCTGAACAATTGTCTTCTCAGGTAAGACTTAATTTTATTTATGTAGATATAACTAAAACGTTTTCCATATACATAATTTAAGTTAATCAACAATAAAACTTTAAATTATTGCTTATTTTTCGTGTACTTAACTGCATAACAGTTTAGTTTGTTATTTAGTGTGTAAGACTTATAATTAAATGACTAACAGTTACAAGTAGTGACATCTATGTTTTTGATTTGGAAGTAAAATGATTTTGAAGAGTATTTTATATCAGGATATTTAAAAAAAGTAATGTCGTTTTAAGTTATAGCACCTTTTAAAATTAAAAAAATGAAAATATATTCTTAACAACTTAATAAGCTATATTTATTTGTTATGGTTATCTAATACAGAAATCATTGCCTTTATTTTCTAAGGAGCTAATGTCAAACGTCAAATGAGAGAAGTATCTGTTTTTGAACTTTAACGGCAAACGGCATAGCTCTGTAAAGTCGTTTTAAATTGTTTTATTATTTTGTTACATACCTATATCTTATTGTGAATTTATTAAGATGGATAACAGTGACGACATTCGTGACGAGGATTTTATCCCGTTTCTTCATGGAATAGGTGTAGAGACGTATTAGAAGTCTTTTGAATGGATGTTAAATGATCCAGATTTCTCTGGCGTTTTGCAGTGGATTTATAACAATTTGGATCATAATAATGCATTAACTGCTAGAGAAGAGTGCAGATTAAGTATTTCAGATAACGCAAAACTCTAAAAGTTGACTTAGTAGAAATGACACGAAATATTGTATTCTGTTACAAGACGTGGTTTTGACATTTATAACTGTACCAAAACAAATAGTTAGTCATATATAATTTAAACATTTTAATCTTAATCATTAACAGACATGCAGAGTTAGAAAAGAGAGGAAAATTATTGTCACCTGAAAACTTATAAACACAAATCCAATCAATACAAGATGATTTCGAAGGTTTAGTCCTAGCTGGGGTTTAGATTCTTTAGAGGACGCTAAACTTGATATTAAAAGGCAGAAAGAGAAGCTTGCAATGTTACAAATTCATGAAGAAATGCTTAATGAAATGATCACTCAAGAAGAGTAAGTCATTATCATCAACTGTATACATTTTAATGATATTTAACATAGTGGAAGCATTTAAATTGTTGTTTAATTTAAAATTAATTATTAAAAACACGTAATCAATATTTATACATTTTTAGGTCTACTAAAGAGGTCCTTACACAAAATATTGCTAGATTAGAAACAGTACAGAAACAATGTAATCAGGATGTCACTACAGCTAGTGAGCTATGCTTGCAATTGGCTGAAGAAGTTGAAAACATTACCAGTAGCGTTATGAACAATATTGCAGAGGTTTTGAATGTTTATGGCTCCAGCATCAATGATAAAGTATGTTTATTGCTATTAATGACTATTTGCAATAGTATTCTTAAGTAATCATTAGTAAAAAAATAACTAGAATAGCTATTTAGGTGACCATATAAGTATAGCTTATATTTAAAAGCATACATTAAGTATCTTTGTAAGTTAAGACTTGCTAATTCTTAGTTGAATGTCCAAAAGTTTTGGATTTATTTACTACTTTATTTTATTAACTACTAGTTTTTCCCCGCGACTTCGTCCGCGTTAGTTTGGTCAAGAGTATATGTAGGTATAGCTGACCAGGCGAACTCTATTCCGTCTTAGAGGCCATAAATAATCAGGTTTTTTATGTTTCAATCAAACAGAATGATTGACATATTAGTTAGTTGTCAAATCTAATGTCAAAAAAAAACGTTTGTATGGGAAATAGAAAAGGGCTGTCTTTAGGGTTCTCCCGGCAATTATTCCAATTTTTCTCACCTTTTATACCTTCCCTGGACTTCCAGGAGTATTTCAAGACTAAAATTAGCCAAATCGGTTCAGCCGTTCCCAAGTTTTAGCGAGACTAAGGAACAGCAATCCATTTTTATATATATAGAAGATCACTTAAATTTATTAATAATTCTTTTACATGACAGTGATTTTTTTCTATTTTACAATTTTATTATGTCTTCATACATAAAT